TAGGAAAAACACACTTCCAGACCAGATAGAGGAAAATTGACTTAAACGTCATGGGATCGATTTTTGTGAAACGTCAATTGTCACAAACCGTATCACGATATCTTCAATGGTACCATTGATACAGGGTGATTTTCGATTTTTCCCTATTATGAAAAATGGCTATAAGTTTTTTATTTATCAATTTTTTTTATTTCTGTAAAAACATTATGGAGACGTTTTTTTGAGCACAATCCAGTTGCGGACTCAGTTTTTTTCTATACCGTTCCAATTTCGAGATACCGACCAAATTCCGATATTTTCAAATGAAACACCCTAAATATTAATAGCTCATTGGATAGCTCTGTTTTTGCTGATTTCAATGATATAAAGTTCGATAGGTTTATCTCTAAGAGTTTTCGAGAAAAAAAATTATATCTGTTTTTGTCGTAAGGACCAATGTGTTAGAAAAGGATTTTATATGTGTAAGGAAAAAGAGGAAGGTCTCCTTTCTAACACATTGTTTCTTATGACTGAAACATATAATTTTTTTTTTCGAAAACTGTTAGAGATAAACCTATCGAAGTTTATATCATTGAAATCAGTAAAAACAGAGCTATCCAATGAGCTATTAATATATAGGGTGTTTCATTTGAAAATATCGGAGTTTGGTCGATATTTCGAAATCGGAACAATATAGAAAAAAACTGAGTCCGCCACTGGATTGTGCCCAAAAAAGTGTCTCCATAATGTTTTTACAGAAATAAAAAAAATTGACAAATAAAAAAGCTATAGCCATTTTTCATAATAGGGGAAAATCGAAAATCGCCCTGTATTAATGGTACCATTGAAGATATCGCGATGCGGTTTTTGACATTCGACGTTTCTCGAAAATCAATCCAATGACATCTGACTCAATTTTCGTCTATCTGGTCTGGAAGTGTGTTTCCTGTTAAAACACTCCAAATTGCAGCACCCTGTACAATGTCAAAAAAAATTATAAAATTGTTGAAAGATCCACAAATTAGATTAATATGGATTAAAATAACAAAAATGTATGCAGACAAAATTGATAAAATGTTTGATTAATTAACAAAACTGACACTTCTGAACGCCACTTTCCCGCACTAGTGCGGGAAAGTGACATTTTCAGAACTAAAATGCGTGCGGGAAAGTGAAAAAAAATGCACGCTCGTAGAAAAACTATTTTTTTTTCCTTTTTCCTACCTATCTATTTTTAGTTTATTTTTAAGTTTAGTTTTAATATTTATTATAAGTATCTACCACTAGTAAACCTTTTCATCCTATTTAAAAAACATGCGTTTTGGTGGGGTGAATGTTTAGGAAACTCTCAAAAGGGCTTTTTGCCTATTTTAGTTTGTGTAGAGCAATCTACAAAGTTCGATTGTGCATATATTTTTTATTAGCGCCTTTTTCGTTTATCATATGCGCACACGTCACTTGCTGGAAGCAGCTGCATTTTACGCTGCCTTGTCCGAGATTTTAAAAATAATATTTTCTCGGCCGCAGAGTAGACAACACACTCTCGCTACGCGATCCGTACAAATTCGTGTCGTATCGGACGGTTCGGACACTACAACGAAACTGCCCCTATTTTACTGCCCTAAGAAGCTACAGATTACTCTGCTACAGTCAACACGCTTCAGTTCGGACCAGTACCCAGAGAACCAACAGAAACCTTTTTAAAGGTAAGTGATCTGTGCGTACCGGGTTTAAACATTTATTTCCATTTTTTTTCAAATCATACAGTCCACTAAACAATTTTCATATTTTCCGCCACAGTCAGCATAAAAACTGTTATAAAAGCATACCTACTTCAAAAGTATTACGTATTTATCTCTCGTTCTTGGAGGTTTCAATTTACTTTTACTTTTAACGTTTCGTTATAGATACCAAATAGTTTTGAGTTTAATATTGTTACCTACTTATTTGTCAAAGACTTATGAAAACTTTTTTTTATCTCTTAAGCTTTATAAGCCTATCTCTGTAATGGCTAGAGCCGCCCAAGTAGCGCTTTGCTGAGTGAAAATTGAATTTGGCTGAGATTGTAACTTTCATGTAAGTGAGTTATCTGGCCATTTTTGGGTCAGGAACAAAGTTTCCTCATAAATAGATTTTGGCACGATATATATTTTATTCAATAAAAAACAAAACAACTTGAATAGTGGAACAAGAGCGAACAAAACATTTTGAATGAATATATCGATAGGCCCCAAAAAGCTTTAATTACAAATGAATTTTGAGGATATTTCTATGCGCTTTTGCCGCATTTACATTTAAATTATATAAACTGTCATATTGGAGCAACTAATGCTCAACGCATTACAATCAAGCTAATTTTCATCGAGACTCGACTTTAAACTAACTCAATCAAGTCAATTTCTTTTTTTGTGAATCTGTACATATACCATATGACGTACAATAAAACAGTTGTTACTTAGCATTCACAGATCGTGTTTCATTATATCCCCCATCCTAAGTAACATACAACATAAACTAATATAAATAACAAGAAGTAAAACAACTCTCAGTCTTCTCCACAATTCTTTATCTAAAATTCAGTATTGTAATTTTACTACGAGTACATGTTTCAGATATTGTATATCCATATTCAGCTCTAAAATAAAATGAAACTGATTGATGGCAGAAGTGTTTGTGGACAAGTTAGAACAAAAAATCAAGCTTCAGTTTCTTTTTTCGAAGGTTTTGTTTTACTTCAGATATGTTGATGACAGTTTGCTCTATTTTGATGGCACAAGAGAGGAGCTAAACTCCTTCTTCAGTTTTCTGAATACCCTCCACTCATCCATTGAGTTTACTATGGAGGTTGAGCACGAAGGGAAAATAAATTTCCTCGATCTTACCATCGAGAGACATCAGGGCAGCCTCCGGTTTTCTATTCTCAATAAAGACTCTAGCACAGATGCGGTAATACCCTATTACTCGAACCACCCCAATATCAATGACCTATTATCACAGATAGACAGAGTATTTCATTCATAAAATACTACTTGTTGTGTTGACAACATGTTTATAGGCCAGGGGGGATTTGGGGTGCGGGCGGTCAATGGTGGGGATAAGTCGCCCGATCTAAGTCCGGCCTCAACAGCTGTTCCCTGCCATGGACCAGACGCAATTGGTCCCGCTCCAAAACCAAAACGATGATTTTCGAAAGTATTCCAGACCAACACGAACATGTCTTATTTATCGGTCTTTTTTAAACATGTACTATTCATCATCGCATAGGATAGAGACAAGATACTCTGGGCGAGAGCCGAGAACGGAACTTACTACTATGACAAAGCATAAGGCGGGGTTTAGTCTAGTGCTGTGTTGCCAAGTGTAATTGTAAGGCAGGACTTTATACCCGCGTTAGAAAGAGAAAATAAATATTCCTACGACTAAATGTGGCATTTTAGTAGTGGGGGAGTGTCGTCAGGATAGAAAGAATCGGAAATGTTGTCAACATATATTTTTGTTTATAAATCCGTCTATCTGTGGTTGTAGGTCATTGCCCAATATACATTATTAAGAAAACTTTTCACAAACACCACACCAAACACATAAATAGAAAATTGGTGTCCACAAACAAAAGGAATAAAATCTTCTGTAGCCTTCCATTTTATAGCAATATCTTATACAAAATCAAAAACATTCAGCAAAACTCAATAGATAATCTTGTAGTGTTTTAAAACCCAACACAACATAGAATCGTTTCTTTTCATTGGTAAGGACAAGACTAAGAATGAGTTGGACTATTCAGAGATTTACCAATTAACATGTGGCACAGAAAATTGTGGAGCGGTTTATGTGGTTAGGAGTGGAAGGAAGCTCTCAGTAAGGATTAATGAACATACCTCTATCATCAATAAAAATAAGACTCACTACCCTCTGGATTCAAGTTCTAACTTTGCAAACCATATCGTGGATGACAATGTTTGATCCCCAAAAAGGTGTAAGTCATTAAACGCTGTAATTTTGGCACCAAATTGTACCTCGGGGAAATTTCATATAGATTAAAAAAGCCATAAAAAATACTGAGATACCATGTCTGAACGATCAAATTAATTTTGACTGCCTCCATTTTTTCAATACCTTGATCTTTTGATTTTGGTTACATTTCATTTGTGTTGCCTTTTTTGTAACTATATGTGTTTGGATTTGTTAATTTCTCCTCGTGTTGTGTTTTTGTTGTTAGAGAACGGAATAGGCCATTTTCAAATTCGAATGTGAGTGGCGGGTTTCTGAACTCATCACATTGCGCCGGAGGAAATTAACAATTTTTCCAATAAAACTAACATCCTGTTCAAATTCATTCAAAAAGAGCGGGGGGTAGCGAAACCCAGGAAGCACAACTTGAACATCAACAATGTAGTAAGTACACATTACTTAACGTCGAATAAACTCGGAAGATACAACCACAAGAAACGTTTATTCAAGACTTCCGTTTAAATCTGCCTTAAGCTCTATCCCTGGTTCCCAGGTACCGTTCTCTACCCGTGAGAAAGAAGAAGAGTGCTCGATGTGTCAGCCTGTGGAAAATTACCCAGCGGGTTCTTAATCTCGAGAGGCATCGTTTGGTCGAGCGTAATGAATCTGGTCACATTTTAATATTTTCACCCCTTGGTAATTTCTGGTAACAAATAAATATGCACGAGTCATATCCCTAAAATAGCTATTTATTGCTGATTATGCATTTATACCTTATATATACGATTGTTGCAATAATTAACATTAACATTATTCCGTGTCAAAGCTAGACCTGCTGTTCGGGTGATTGTTCACCTTAGAATTAGTTACGATTAAGGCATTCCTGTTACGAAATTTAGGACTTAGTGAAAATAAAATCTTTGTAAAAAGCTTCTACTAATATGCGTAATATTTCCATAGATGACAGGTCAGAACAAGAGCATATTTGAAAAATACCTATAATAAAGATATTTGGCACATAAACTGAAAAACAATAGTAGATAAGTACTTTCTACAAGTGTTTTTCATTTCAGGTTCCAGTTGTGATATAGTAATAAACAGTGATACTAGCAAAAATGGTACAATAATGAGTCCAATGTACCCGTCACCGTACCCATCGAAAACGACGTGCCGCTATGAATTTCAAGGAAGGGGAAAAGAAAGAGTCCAAGTTGCTTTTAACGATTTCAATTTGTATCATTTACAAGATAATGTCAAAGAGTAAGATTTTGTATTCAAATTAAATAAAAAGTATTAGTTTCAAATTTATAGTTGCGAGCAACAAGACTCTCTTAACGCATTCGTTCACATCGACGGACGCATGGAAAAAATTGATTCATTTTGCGGATCATCTTTACCAAAACCTGTAATGTCAAATGGCCCTCGATTAAAATTGGAATTTCAGAGTTTGTACGCTTCTCGATACTCTAGAGGGTTTAACGCTACTTATAGTTTTACTGAAAGTAAGTATTTTAAAACAATTGATAGGTTAAACTTTAGATGTTCAATAATTAATGTTTTTATTTGATTATAAATCTGTTTGATTGTGTTGGAGTGGAAAGAAAAAAGTTTATACATTCATTTTCAATACCTAACTATTTTCTGTTTTAGAATTTGGGATCAAGACAGGTTCTCAGATCCCCGACTACCCGTGTGCCTTCGTACTAAACAGCAATGACTCCAAGACTGGCTATTTTCACAGCCCGAACTTTCCTGGCTTTTATCCTAGGGACACTGAATGTCATTACTTTTTTCATGGAAATTCCAATGAAAAAGTTCATCTGCATTTCAATTACTTCGACGTTGAAGGAGTTTTGCCGTAAGCCAATTTTTATTAGATACCTATCTGCTAATTCAATAAAAAGAAGATAATTAGGTAACTTAACATTTTGCAATCCAAACCAAACTAGCTGATAGGTAGCTAAAGCTATTTTGGCATTGAGCACAATAGTAAATACAAATATTTCAAATATCTAAACCACGCAAACCCTGATATTCAAATTTATTCTATTCATATTAAACAAAATTAAATTCGTTGATTTTGCCGTACCACATATTTGGTAATGTTGCAGTCGTTGCTGTAAAAATAATTTATTCATTCATTTATCAAACAGAATTCAAGATAAAAGGGATAGTCAAAGAGTTGTTAATATAACTTTAAATAAGCTGACAAAAGTTTCCATTTTTAAATAAATATTGAAATTTTGCCTTATAATTATGTTCCAATATTTCATTCAAATTTACTTGCAAACATATTTTATCCATTTCAATGAAATTAATAGAAAAAGATACCCTCTTTCTAATAAAGAAAAAAAGTTTAGTATTTTTACGGCTTAAGCTTATTAGCTATTATATATATGTATAAGTCGCTGCCAAAAAGATGTCAGGGACTTTTTTTGCTGTCCTTTTAAAATAGTTATTTTTGTATCTAGTAATCCAGTGCGCGAACCGGTTTGTTGGCTTTGCTCAGGTGAGCACGACGTACAGAATAAAGGTACGGTTTGTTAGGACAGTGCGCGACGCACAACTCACAACGTGAACGTCGGCAGCATCTGTTGAGCCGGAAATTACACACTGCTGATGTCGCTCTCACCTGCGCAAAGCCAACAAACCGGTCTATAAAATTTACACTAGGCTAATTTTAGCAGATGTGCGCGGCGTTCGACAGAATGTGAGTTGTGCGTTGCACACTGCCCTGAAAAACCGTACCAAGCATTGTGTCAACGTCGTGCTGAACAGATTCTGCCGACGTTCACGCTGTGAACTGTGTGTCGCGCACTGTCCTGAAAACAACCGCACCTCTAGCTGCTTTGTTTCGCAGCAAAATTGAATAATGATTTCAAGATCATGATTCATATGTTCAGCGGAACATGTTTCGATTTTCCCCTCCGAAAGAACGCTTCCAAGTCGCATTGAAATTTCCTTTTTATGCATCAAATTTTACTAACTTTTCGTCTAACGTTTTCTTGCGCATAAGAAAAATTCGGTGGATTCATAATTCATATTGCCCCCTGATGAGTCCCTGAGTCGCTTTAAATAAAAATAAATAAAATATAACATAAATAAAATAGTTATTTGTTTTACTAGGCAGAAAAGCACAAGATTTAATGCCGCGGCTGGTGTTTCATAGCCGAGGCATAGCCGAGGCTAGGAACCCAGCCGAGGCATTAAATCTGCTTTTCTGCCATGTAAAACATATAATTTTTTCTCCGAATGTTCAAATTCACACATGGACATCTTTTTTTTATTTATTTCATTCATTATTATTACCCAAATAATTAAATTATTTTGACAATTGTCATTGTCACCATCAATTTCAAATACAAAATTGAGTGAAATTATTACCTGAAATGTTGTGACACTGTCACTTTTAATGCCTAGGCAGTAAAAGTCCACTTTTACTGCCTAGGCATTAAAAATACAACTTTTGATCCTGTCATTCGGAGAAAAACAAGTTTAATCACAAACGTCAAACTTGAAAATGAGAAACAACATAATTATTGAATCATAACGCGTTGTGATCAGGTGATTCGGTCTGAAAGTGAGCGGCTTTTATGATTCAGATTTAAGTCCGGTCCAGACGCTACGTTACTGATTACTGACTAGAACGTTTTGTCTGCAATGTGTTCACACAAAACGTGTAAAACGTAGCGTCTGGACCGTGCTTTTAGATGTATCATCGGCTTCACTTATTTATAATTGAATTTACGCATGTAAATAGCTGAGCGTTGGTTATCAATATATTTTTTTCGAACCAAAACAATAATAATGGTATTGGGCAGTGTGAATAAAAACTAAGCTTTCACTTTTAGTATAAAGTGATAGCTTTTACTAGGTAGATTTAGCTTTTGCTAATAGCATTTGCTGAAATTGAACTGAATAACCTTTTCCTTTTACTTACTAGCAAAAGCTAGATAGTCCAAGCGTTTACTGAAAATACGGAGATTTCGAGAAATATCTACAGCATTCTGAAAAAGTGTGTTTGCGAGTTTTTATACTGATAACGCCGATATTTATATTTTTATGAACCGGAATGATATGAGGTTTGTTTCAACACGTCAAAAACCGTCCCATGAATGGTCTAGAAACCACTCTGTATACGAATTTCGGGTTCTACGCAAAAATTTTTGACTTTGCGCAGAATCATGACGGTACATTGGCGATTTCTTGATGTGTTGGAGAAAAGCTATGACCGGCGGCGTGAAAACACTGGAAGGAGTCAATAATTGGGTACGTTCACCAGTACTCAACAGCTAACGTGCAGCGTAAAGCAGTTGAGGATAGTTGAGATACAGCGGAAGTAAATTTCCTGAACGCCCGACACTTCTGCGCATGTCTATAGCATAAGTTGAGTTGGTAAGCCTAAACTTTTACCGCTTAGAAAAATCGGCAGCAGCTGACAAAAAGCGGCTTTTGCTGAGCGCCGCTGAACGCTATTGTTTCCCCTTTCCCCCACTACTCAACTGCTGGCAACAGTTGAGTGCTGGTCAACGTAGGTGCCCATTTTAAACAAGTAGCGGTATCGAACGCCAGCGCTTCAAGGTGAAAATGAATAGTGATTCAGACAAATCTATAAGTGGTTTGTTGGAGTAGGAGGAAATCTTCAGCCAACCTTGAATTGACAGACTGTGATATTCTTTGGCACGACTTTCTTTTCTTTCGGCATAAAATTTCGCAGACCTCATATTCATAAACGCAGCCATTTCTTCCAAGCTTTGAAACTTTTAAACACAACTAAAATGTTTAAGCCAAGGTTTACCAGGCTTGCAAAGATGTAAGCTTTTCCTTCATATAATTAGGAATTGCTTACTTTTATTCACACCATTTAAAGACAATGCTAAAAACTGTAGCTTTTACTAATTGAATTTCTAGTTAAAGCTAATACTCATTTTTATTCACTGCAAAGTAAGCATTTGCTTAGAAAATGCAAGATAAAGCTTTTACTAAATTTTTATTCACACTACTCAATGTCTCGGTTCTAAGGAAAGAAAACATGTATTTTAAGAAACCCTGGAAAAACTAGAAATTCAACATAAAAAAAGAAGAAAAATTATTTGAAACAAAAACAAAAATCAGGTAATCTAATAGAGCAAATGTTCAAATAGTTCACCTTCTTGAACTGGACAATGACCTAAACGATCATAAAAGGCTCTATGAACATTATTTAGCATCACAGGGGTGATAGTTAGATAGATCTCTCGAATTCTGTAACACAGCTGAGATCACGGAGCGATCCCCCTGAAAACCATACATTTTTGAATTGCAATAACCCGAGGCGCTCGGGATATCTATCAGGCCGGTAGCTTAGAGTTATGACGTGACAATCGAAGGCCAGCTAGTACACTGTTGTATAATTGCGTATGCAAGTATTTTTTTATATTTTTGGGTAATCAAGATGCCGGCGAGTGCACACGTATGTGCTCGTTGCTCCGATAATTTTATAGTGAACGCAAAGTTAGTCACATGCAAATTATGTAATCTTAATTATCACTTTCAATGTGCTCAGTTAAAAGACCAACTGTATAAAACCATTAATGATTGTGCAAATTTGTTCTGGTATTGTGATGACTGTGTCATATTGGTTGATGAAAGATTGAATATAGCGAAAAGAATGGGAAATTTAGAACAGCAAGCAGAGGATAATAAAAGAACAACCACTGAAATTCTCACCAGATTGGAAACTACAACATCAACAACAGAAAAAAACGAAAATCAATGGTCAACTATTGTTAAAAAGAAAAAATTTCCACCATTGATAATAAAACCGAAAAATATCAACCAAAACAGTGCTACTACAAAAAGTGTCATCACGCAAAAAATTAAACCTTCGGATTTATCGGTGGAAGTAAAAAAATTTAAACCGGTAGGCCAAGGTAGTGTTGTGATTGAGTGCAATGATAGGGAATCCCTGCAAAAACTGCAAAACAAGGCAGTCGCTGAACTTTCTGATAACTATACAATAGAAATTCCAAAAATAGGAAATCCCAAGGTAATTATCGTTGGTATACAGGAAGCATATTTAAATACAGAGGAGGACTTTATTCAGAGAGTAAAAAACCAAATATGCCTTTCGACATTTGGTGAAAATACAGAAATTAAACTAGTCAAAAAGTACATACCAAAGAGTAAACGGTTGTATAACGTAGTCTTAGAAGTAGAGCCAGAGGTTTTTAAATGTTTGCTTAAGCATAAAAGAATGTTTATAGACTGGGAAAGTTTACCGATTTATGAGTACATTGGGGTTTTGCGTTGTTATAAGTGTTGGAACTATGGCCACAAAGCTATGCACTGTCAGCAGCCACATGATGTATGTCCATTATGTAACCAGGATCATAAAAGTGAAGATTGTAAATCAACAGTAAAGGAATGCACTAATTGTAAATATGCTCACGAGACTCTGAGGATTCCAAACATAGATTTTAGGCACACTGTTTTTGATAGAGACTGCGTCTGTTATCAAAGGGCACAAGAAAGAGCTAAATCTAGGACCCAATACGTATAGCCACCAAAAAACAGAGCCAACGCATCTTTATCAATAAATAGCGGGTTGATTTTGCATATGAATATCCAAGGACTTACATCACACATTCTAGAGGTAAAACAATTGTTACAGAGTCGAGACCCAATGATTGTTTGTGTCAGTGAAACCCACATTACCCCAGAAATTAATGATGAAGAGGTGTCTGTGCCTGGCTATAACGCAGTGTTTTGCTACTCGTACAGCAGACACACTGGGGGTACCGTTATTTACGTAAAAAAGGTTCTAAATTGGACAGTGATTTGCAATGACGCAGTTGATTACAGCTATTGGGCACTGTT